CTCTCTCGCTGGGGTTGTGAGGACTCTGAAGGGAGGGGGAGTGTGATGGCTGCATGTACAACCACACAAATGGTCTGGTAATTCTTTCATTAAATCTTCTATTTTATTGTACTGGATTTCCTTTTTTTCTACTTTGATTTGGCATATGTTAACTATTTGGGTGCACACATTTAGTTGACTCATTTTGTCATTTCTTGCTTTTTGGTTTTCTGTACATTAATATATTTTTCATTTGAGTTGCCAGTTCCTGGGAGGCTGTCATGAGTAAAGCCAGTAAAGGAAAGGAGACCCCAGCTGCAAAGTATCTCCTCATTGACATGGAGGCCTAGTTGGACTCTTCCACTTGCATTTAGAAGGGGTGTAGAAAGGGTTTAGGTTTCTGTATTTGGTTTTGTTTTCTATAGTAACACTTGGAAAATTTTATATTTAAGTCCTCTTCTTCATAGGTTGCTAATTAAGTATGATGTTGATTAGTTTTGTCTTTTGTTGTAGTTTTGTTTAGGAAAATGTATTTTAAGTTTCCCTCTTGTTTCAAAATGGTCAGATCAACCAGTATATATATATGTTTCCCCTGTGTATCAATTAGGTAGGTCTTTTCCTGTGTCAGCTTTGGATTATGCACATTTTTGTCATTTGTTTTCCTTGATGGGCCCAGTGTTGTTTGAACTTTTGAACTTTATTTTTTTGCAAAATAAATTTGTTACCATTTTTTTCATCAAGACTTCCCTGTGCTTCTCTGATTTTTTGGCTCGGTCCCTCACAGGTATTATCAGATGTCTTAGACAGGGATCATCACAAGCACAATGTAACAGAGATAAAAAGTAAACAAACAAAGCTTTAGCATGGGCATTTGTTTTCTCAAGGTGCACATGCAAAATACATATCAGTGTTAAATTAGCATCCTCTACCCCATTTGAGCCATGACAGGCAAATCCCAGGGTCTCCATGAGATTGTGGGTTTGACAAACAATCCCAAAAAAGGTTTGCAGAGAGCTATATACAATACATACAATAGAGATGAGTCCTTGATCAGACCTGGAGAGGGGTTTTAGGGCTTGTGAGGGTCACTACTCGCCCAACATGTTGGTTTGGGTGAGGAAGCAATGTGAACGCACTGCTCCTCAGGCGCCGTACAATGGCAGACCACTGCTCCCCAAGGGGATGTGTTAAATGCAGGGTAAAATTCATGCTCTGTACTTGTGACAGTGTAATGACAATAAAACGCTAAAAAAAAAGATAAAAAGAACTATTTACAATAGGGGTGAGTCCTTACTCAGAGTTGGGGGTGGGGGTCAGGGGCCGTGAGGGTCACTAGATCCCTAGTTCTTCCTCAACGGGTGGGTTGGGTGGGGAACTGGGGTACTTGTAGGTTTTGAGGGTCCAGAGACCTGATGTCCTTCCGCTGTGGGGTAGGGGACTGGGGCAGGGGTCATGGGGGTCGGTGGGGTAGGGGACTGGGGCAGGGGTCATGGGGGTCGGTGGGGTAGGGGACTGGGGCTACACCTTGCCAAACCCCAGTGACCCTATGATTGCGTCACGCATCATGTCTCTGAAGTCCTCCTCGTCCTCCATACCCCTTGGTAGGGTAAGGGTAAGGCTACAAGTTGATGCGTACGGGAGGCGCCTCCCCCCTGGATCCTGGTCAAAAAAATCTATTTAGCAGTTTTCCGGAAAGCCAAGGGGAGGGAGAGTGTCAGCTCCCGTCACAAAGACCAGGAGGTCTTCAAATTTGATGTCCACTGTTCCCTCTGCAAACACAAAAGTAATGAATTACATTCACAGTCCATTATTTTTTGCCATTTAATTTTTAAGCTGCAGAAATTACGGAAGATGAACAGTATGATTGTCTGTCTGTATCTCCAAAATCCATGAGGCATTTTTTCAAAAATCAAAGCACAAAAAAAGACTTGCAGTTCAGCAGAATAATGTGGACTGTCAACAGATGGTTTGACAGACTATACGCCTGTTGACCGAGTAATTACTGCTCCTACAAACATCTGGCAATCATAACAGCTTATTTTCTGACTGATACTGAAAAAGACTGCACACACCTTGAATGGCCACCAGCCAGTGCTGAAAGAGGTACAGCGTCTTCTCCTCCTCTTCATAATTGATGTGGCCAGCATCACTCCTCACCTTCTCAAAGAGCCTCAGCATCACTTGACGGCCCAGTTTCTCATCGCTGTTGACGAACAATGGCTCGAACTGCCGCCAATTGAGGCTTATCAAGTCCCACAGTCGCCCACAGGAATTAATGCCGTCTTTGAACTGCGTTATCATGCTGGCCTCTCTTGGAAGACAATTGGGAGAAATAGGGAAGACATTCTGGAGTTATGATGCGTTCACATACCAGACGTTTTATTAGTAACTTAGTTTTATAGATAATTACTTATTAAAAATGTGTTTTCTAACGGTGATTTCTGTCCCTGACTAAATATTCCAGAAAAAAATGTGTAAACATGAAACACAAATGAAAACACTATTTCTTGTTTTCTGTATTTACCATGCATGTCTACCTGAACTGAGAAGTGTCTTGAACATTTTGCATTTTATATTGTTTTCCGAAAGTATTTTATACCAAACTAAATCACTGTAGTCTGCAGTTCAAGATAGGCTCTGTCTATGCACCCTGATGTTCTATCTCTCCGGTTCTTGTCCCTGAAGAAAGATTACTCGGGACAAAATCTTTAAACACTTGATAACTTATATGTATTAAATAACCAGAAGACATGACAACAGATTCTGGTAAAAATCTTACTCAGATCAGAGAAATTGCTAGGAGTTTACAGAAGGCAGCTGCTCAAATCAGGGTTCACCTCCCTGGAAGTGGCCCAGATTAACAATCAAAAAGTCATTTATACATCTCCAGTCTGCCTCATCCTCAAAGTTTACATCATAGATGTTAGCAGATGATTACACATCCATGGCTCCAGCCTTATCCAAATATTACACTTCGTTCTTAGCTGAAGGACGCCGCTCTCATTCAATTTCCAAATCTTTGTCACTTCTAAATTGAAGATAAAAACTGTATATCGAGACAGAGGAACTGTCCTAATTAATTTAAAACATCAGTTCTGACATGCATCAGGAAGCCAATACCAAGGTTTAATAAACTCACACGTCCAATAATAATAATTATCCTAACACTACAGTTAGCAAAATTCTGTGGCATTACGTGACCGTATATGCAAAATTTTCAAATTACATGAGTATAGGATAAAAAAATGACGCTTTTAAATGTGGGGACAGAGAACAATAGTAACTTCTCAAATATAGATTACAGAAAGCAATAAACACAGCAAAAGCAAATTACACAAACAAACTTGAAAAAAAACCACGTTATGATAACGTTAAGTGGGTCTGGCGGGGCCTTCAGGAAATTATGATCTACAAAACCAGACATTATATTGAACTGTGATCCCTCCCTACCTGAGCAGCTTAATGGCTTTTCTGCTGTTTCAATGCCAGTTGTGCACAAACAAGTGTCCTCCTTCACCCACTGGGGTTGTGCCACACTCAACCTCCTCTTCCCATCTCGGAACATGAGGTGCTCAGACTGCTACAGCGGCAGAACACCAACTAGATAGCTGGCCCACTCTTAAGAAATGTGCTAATTTACTCACTGCTGACCTCAGCCACATTTTTAACTTGTCTCTTAACTGTGCCACTCTACCTGCATGGTTTGAATCAGTTAAGATCATTTCAGTACCCATTTGTTGTAATTTAACTTTCAGACAAATTTCTTAATAAAACGATAGAGCCATTAACTTCATTCTAACACGTCGGAGCACGTCGACAGTTTCTTTATTCAACTTATGGTTCACATAACATCACAGCAAACATCACCTGTCTTAATGATTATAGATCTTTCACTCAGGGGTGTCAACCCCTGGTTTAGTCACTTGCTGCTAAACTTCCTGACTGACAGAACACAATTTGTTAAAATCCAGAACAATATTTCACCTACTAAGGTCCTTAACAGTGGCACTACACAAGGTTCTGTATTGTCACCCCTGTTCATCTCTGCATACACTAAGGTCACCATATTTCTAAAATCTTATCAGAGGTCATTTCCAGTTTGTCCATAAAAATAAATACATATCATCAGAATTCAAATAGGAAAAGGGGAGAGTAACGCTGTGATCCATTTTTACACATTTATTATTTTTGAAATAACAGGGATATCAACTATATCTGTACAACCCATGCACTTAAATTATGTCATTGCACTTTTCAATGTTTTCTTTGCAATGTCATCCCCTGTGCATTTATGTATGTATCCTCTGCCCCTAACCCCCCCATCACACCACTTTTTTTATGGTTTTTAGTTGTATTGCCTTATGTGTATGAGCAAACGTGTATGAGCACTACAAAAAAACACTCCTAAAAACTGTATTTTTGTATTGCTGATATGGCTAAATAGACTTATCTTGAACATTTAATGCCTGAGTGACAACACCACATCTATAGTTCCTTGAATGCAGGCTCAAACCCAATACAGTAGGATATCGGTAGTACAATAACTTATTGTTACCAGTGGAAGATGAAGTGAGCCACAATTCTTTGGGACACCCTAGGCAGGTCCGAAAGGGTGGCGCTATATATAGCGGGCACACCACATTCGGCTATCCAGTCCCCCCGACTAGACTTCAGGGCATGCAGCTCCTCTGAAGAAGAGCACCTTTGGATCTGTAAAAAGTCAGAATGTGGGGCAGGGTATAAATTAACGAAGAAGGGTAGCAGATTACTTCTTTCGTTCTACTAAGTGTTATTTCATCAAAAACGCATGCAGTATCTGCATTATTGAAATAACCAAGAAAACAGCAATTTCATTAAGACGAAGTATTTTTTCGTAGAGGTTCGATCACACCAAAAAAGTTGACAATGTAGTCACCGGCTCGATACAGGCACGGGCATCCTCCTCCAGGCACGCCAGGTGAAGATATTCAGCGTCCCATGGCTGGCCACACATGAGCCTGTAAAGGGCAGGGAGCAAGCATCGGAGGCCTGGACCACTGTGGATCACGGACCAGGCCATCAGCTTGCCTGCAAGATAATATTTATGGCCCTCCAACGCCTGCAGGTCGTAGCTAAACAGCATCTTTCCTGGCATGCCCTCAAAGACGCCCAGAGATCCTGAGACTTCCATCATGAGAAGTCTGCAGAACATAATAAGGGAACATGGTTTGATTTAGCATACATGTACATTTCCTTCCACAAAACCAATTAGATGATAAGTAACTGATGGATTGCATTGTGGTGATTTGGCCCGACATGAAAAATAGCACACCATGCTTATTATATGCTTACTACTGGGTCTTGTCGGGCTGGGGATCCCAACAGGATGACATCCCCCTCATCCTGCTCCTCCCCCTGGAGGTCCTCCATAAAGTCTTCTCTAAAAAAATTAGAGACATTCACAAACAGATAATGAATGTCCCTGACTTTGTCATATTCAACATGGCAGTAACATATTTTACGGTAAAGCATTTTGAATTGACAGTATTACAAATTGTATGTTAGCACCACAATAAAATCAAATATGCTGCCCCTGTTTTATTTTTTTTATGACAAAATGTTTTATTAGTTTCTGTCTTCATCCAAGAACAAAATGTCTCAATATTTAGCCCCCCGATCCCACAATGTGTGATTTTCATGACTTCATCTTTATTTTTATATTTTTTCAAAAACGATGCATCTTTGAAGGAAGACAGGCAAAACGAACATAAGTTGCAACTTTTGGGGTGACAACTTAAGTTTGGCAAGCTGCAGGCCAAACGTAAAACGTCATTATTTCTGTCAAAGCCTGACCATTCCTGATTGGTTTGACGCTACCCATTTGGCTGTACAACCATGTAAAGAGGTATGACTAGTGCATTAGAAATATGTGGGAAAGTTATTCAATGTGGTCGTTTACCCTATGAAGGGTTAATAAAAATGTACCTGACGACTGGCATTGCCAACTGAGGCGGCGGCTGGACAGTGGGCTCCTGCGAACTGAAAAGAAATGCCAAATGAACTGTGCACTTTGCCATGTTGCATATGTGGGTGATTCTACTACAAGCACTTTTATGCCTTTTGATCATAACTCATACAAAAAAATTAAAAAAGGGAAATTTCACACCTTTATAGTTATCTTTACAATGACACTGTTTTAGGACATTTGTTTTAGTAGGCTGTGATGACTTTTTCACCTTTTTTCAGCCTCATTTATATGTAAATCAATGATAAAAATGGATATTAAAAAAAAAACTTTTTCCTAATGTTTTAAAATATCATAGAATAAAATATCAATAAAATAATCAAACTATAATTGTAGTTTTTAATGTCATTCAAATGTTTATGTTTTTTTATAAACCAGTTGTAGTTGTCCCACACTATTGTGGTCATTTCCACAAAAACACTGTAATGTCCCTTTAAAAAGTGTGTATGAAAGATTGTTAGGGTAGTTGCTATGGAGATGAGCAGTGACATCACAGCACAAATCTGACATGGTGAAAATTTAGACTTCATCCATCAACTTTTGAAGTAAAGCCAAGGTAAATATTGCTTGAAATGAAAAAAAAAAAATATTGTATGTAATTTCTAAAAATGCTGTAACATCAACTCAGTCTTGAAGTTAACGTTATTCTAACACACATAGATGTATTTTGTAAGCAGAAAATGCTAGAGACCCTTTCTTAGCTAGTATGTGATGGTAGCATAGAATTTCCCACCAATTTCTGCGTGATTGTAATTTCCAGCACAGTAATTTGCACCACATTGCATTCTTTGGTGGAAATTACAATGGTGTGTAGGCGTAATTCATACATACACATACAAAGCCCTTGTTCTCACATTTTATTCATCTAATTTAATTATTACAACAATGTGGTAATATTATAAACTAGCACCATTTTAGACAACTTCTGACATGTTTCTAAGTATAATTAACCCGCTAAGCATTTTGTGGTGGTGCCACCCCCTCTCTCTCACCCTTAGTACCACCTATGCACAACTGAAATTAATTTATTATTATTTAATAATTTCTTTAGTTATTGTTACTATTTATTATTATGCTCCATAACTTTTAAAAATGTTTTGTCTATGTGGTCCATTCATTGTAATTTCCACACCAAACAGTAATTTCCACCACAACGTGTAATTTCCACCACACCATTTGTTTTAAAAGAAATTGTTGCAAAATTCTAATCACTCATAAAAACATTCTTCATAACTTAAGAGATAATGTTCCACTTTAATTAATAACACAAGTATTTACGCGTTGAAATGTATTTTGCTATTCCAATGCTATATCTCAGGTTATCGGGAACATAAGATTCGCGTATTGTCCTCATCACTGTTAGGTTTATTCTTTATACATCATATGCGTTGTTAGTTTGTTAGCCAGATTAGACGGAGTAGATGGCCTTCCTTCACATGGTGGATGTCTGTGTTTGTACGGAGATCTTCTAATCAGGACAGCCATCGTCTCTTTAAAAATACACAGGATATGGGCACATCTTGGAGCTGGACTGATAAAGGAGAGCAATGTGTAATCCTGGGGTAAAGAGGCAAGATGCTTAAAGGTCATGGCATGGATGGCGTGTCAGTTTCTGATACGGACAGCTGAGCATCCACCAGATGCAAAACATGGACTCGTGAGGTATAAGAAGGAGGACATGACCTTCTTCGGGGCTCAATCTTTACCGGACGCTCGCTGACGTTGTTTGAGCCCACAGCTGTACCGACTCCAAGCCATTTCTCTGTCCTGTAACAGCCTGACCTGGAATAAATGCTGTTACTTTTTTACTCCTGTTTTATAGTCCTTTTTTATATGGTTTTACCCAGTTTGAGTTAGGAGTAGTACATCACTTGCTCCCAGGTAAAGAACCGGTAGGGAAGTTCTGAGGTGCATCAGGGGGACCAAACTTACATATTAACATCACAATTAATTTACCTAATCCATAAATGTATGTGTTTAACATTAAAGGCATAAACAGTTAAATATATATATGAAATGTTCTTCCAGTGAAAAAACATGTGTTACAGAGTATTTTGGAATAAATGACAAATATTTATATGCCGATTTTGGAAAACTGTTAAAAAAACACCAATTTGTCTTAAAGGAGAAGTTCGGTTTTTAACACTTTTAGCCCATTTTCTGTAGTGTCCAGGATGAAATCGAATGATCGACACCAAAATTTTGACAATTGCTCCTGTCTCTGCTTTTTGGCTCATTTAGAATCCACCCCTGGCTGCTTTAGAATGGCTTCCATAGAGCATGTCCGATAATGTCCTTAAAACAACCTTAAACGTTCTTTTTTTTAAATATGCTACTCACCGGGTCGTCAGCGCTGTTCAATGACGTTCCAAAAAAAGTTTCGTGAAGAAAAAACGTTCCTGTAGTGTTTTATTTAGCATTTTGTAAATCCCATTGAGTTCTGTTGGAATAGTCAATATTCCCCTGCCACCGGAAACGGAAATGGGGCCTGTTTACACAGTTGTAGTCTTTTCGCTTCACTCTGTGTACTCCGACGTCGAGAATCAAGAATCCACCTTTCGTATTCCATTTTCAGAGTTTTTTAAAGTGTTTAACAGAGACGTTAGCACCTCGAATTTATAATTTATTATATGTTTTCTCTTCAAGTTTGCAAGGCCAATAGTGGCCGTAGTTAAAGAATCACCCGTGTATTCATGCATGCTCATACATAGTGACATCAGCTGAAACCTTTTGTTAGACCATAATGAAACTTACCCGGCTGCTGCTATTTCCACCTGAGGCGGCTGCTGGACAGTGGCATCCTGCGAACTGAAGTGGAATAATACACAATAATGTCTTGAGTCTTGACTCCTAAACAGTGACAAATGTGACCCCTCTACAATTTAAAAATAGGGCGCAAACAGATAACACTTACCTCACTGCTTCTGCAGCGTTGGAATTCTGAAATGAAAGTAAAAAATTACAAAGCATTACTGCCTATTAAAAATATTGTTTGATCGACAGAAACACCACAACCAAAAGTATGATCCCCAGTCCCCAACTTCAGATAAATACTTTATTGCATGCTATCTCACTCACCCTCACAAATGTATATAACATATTACCTACCTTTGGCCTGATATACAGGTTAGACCTGTTCAGGCTGCGGAGGCTGTGAATCTCCCCTGGAGTTGTAACCTCCAATGGCTCAACCTGCCGCTGCCCATTGACCCTTCACAATGTGAATTCCTCAGGTACTCCGGATACATTGTCCCGAAGTACCTGCACAAACTGTGTTGCAGTCAGGTCCAGGGGCACCACCACCCTGATGGGCGCTGTGGCATCTAAGAACAATTGAAAACATGCTGTAGTAAGCTGATGAAGATTCTCAGTCATCCAGGTCGTAGTCATTCCAAAAAAGTTTAAAAAACAATCCACTGGACTTGGTTTCATAGATCTGAAGACGTTTCGCTTCCCCTCCAGGGAGCTTTCTCAATTCAAATGTCTGGACCCGCAGTGAGTTTGAGACTGCGCAGATCCTCATTGCTACATTACATTACCTTGCACATAATTTATGCTAGTTTTCAAAATAACCATCAGCCATTGCCAGGGTATTGTTGCAGTCCCTGGAGCAGTGTGTAGTTCAGTGCCTTGCTCAAGGACACTTCATCTGTGGATGTAGATGTAGGGAAAGTTTTGGATGGAATTCAAAACTACAACCCTCTGATCTGAAGCCCACTTACCTAACCACTAAGCCAGTGCATGACATTTTGGCATCCATGTCTGATGCTTTCAAACCAAATTCATAACAGTGTGACACACTGAAGTCCTGCGGTCTGTATCACAATAGAAATATTGTTTTAGTATGTCTTTGAAAATTAATGGAAACAAACAAATGTGACAAAAAGGATGAACTCTGGGAGCAAAATCAGACAGGCAAAATAGTTGCGTATGCCTACAAAATTTCATACCATAACTGTTTTAAGTCAGTGTTTATCTGCTGCAGTAATTCAAAAACAGCATGACATGTAATTTAAAAAAAAATCTAATAAGCAACTCCTACATTAAGGAAAGTGTATTAAAAAATAGGTAAAGATCTCTTAAATAGCTTTCATCTCATGTTATTTAGATACAAGCAAGTATTACGCAGTGGGACATAAATCATGGCCCCTCTAGAAATAGAAGATACAAAATAGAACAGAAAAATGTACATTAGACAATATTCTTGCTGTTGACTTCCTCAAAGTATGCTCTTTGTTATAAAAATAAAAATACAGATGATAACGTTACACAATGCATCGCAAATGTGAAATCTCCGCCCATCACAGTTGAAAATGCAATATTTCTCCGCATGTGGTGCTTTTTACATAAGCGGATAATTCACCGAATCGTTGAAACAATGGAGGTCTAAACACAACGGAGGTATAAAAATTTTATTACTGGGCCATTTCATTGTCACAGGGAAAAAAAACCCAAAAGGTTTGCTTCTTTTCTGAAACGTAGTTTTGGTCTTTTGGATATATTTTCCTATCGGCTACATCTCCAGAAAGGGCTTCATTTAATCCCACCATTTCTAATCACGGCAACCTGGGTTTCTGTGAATACACTAAAGAGAATCGAGCATGGCGCATGTGAGCGATACAAAACTATGCCCATATGCGGTAAATCAAATTTATTAAATCACAACGACACTAGAATGGTCAGTGTTGCTAAATTCTAATCCAGAGGGGGCACTGTGCCGTTTCAGCTAGGTGTCACTAGCTACGTTTACATGGACACAACTAATCGGATTGAAGGCCTGATCAGATCAAAAATGTTTCATGTAAACATGTCAGACTGAAGATTCTAATCCGATTCGGTCCGATCGGATCTAAATTTAATTCCGAATGAGAGAGGTGGTTTTTGCCGATCGCCATTCCGATTGGCGTCCATGTAAACACCCATTCGGATCTTAAGAGTAAAATAATCTTCACTGCGCATGTGTGCGACGTCAGCGTGACGTTTTTCCGCCTTGTCAACAACAGGAAACCACCGGTCGCTCTCGCTCTCGCTGTGAACAACATGGCGGGGGGAGTCTAGGAACGCCGACTTATACACTCAAGTTCATTTAAAGCTGCAGGAAGCAGGAATTTATCCTCTTCCTCTTTTCTCTCTCCACAGCCCACTCGCTCTCCCACGCCGGTTCAATCGCTCATTCTCTACATTTTCTTTCGTACATTTCGCTGCCAAGCGCTTTTTTCCTCCTCTCTCCTTTTTTCTTTCCGCTCGCTCCGAGCGCATCGTTTGTCAGGCCTCCCAAAAACCAGACGCAGACAGAACTGCCAAGTTTGGCAGGAAGTTCTGCGCATGCTTAAAAGATTTAATCTGATCCAACGCTTGGTACATGTATACACACGTCATGATCGGATCATTTCATTTAGTGTCCATGTAAACGGAGATTTTGAATTTCCGATCAACCAAGGTTTGGATCGGATCGGGGAAATTTTGCGCATGTAAACGTAGCTACTTTTCTTAAAAGCCATCTTTTACACTTCAACACCTGTGTGCACATCATTGAAATTTCTTCTATAGTGTTTTCATTATACTTTTCTGGTAGGCTTACATGTTATTTTTATGGAATTTCTAATTGCTAAAAGGTCTGGCAAACAGCTAGAAACATCACAAAATTAATTATTAAAGTCTTTTATTAAAGGATTTTTTTTTTCACGTAGACATACACGGAAACTATTTCCCCCCATCATAAACATTATTTTCTCTCAAAATCTCAAGCCCGATAAATAAGACCGTGCAATACCATTAGGCCCTGCAGGCTGTAATACTACATGGGCAAAAAGGCGCGCAAATGGCCCCCTACGTGAGCCTAGGCCAACTGCAGAGGTTTATTCAACTTTTTGCACTTGAAGCTGCAGTCTGTTACATTGAGAAGAGAGCAGACTTCGACTGAAAATTTGAAGAAAAACAGGTTTCACGCCACTCCCCCACCCTCTCTGCTTCACTCATGCCCCACCTCCAAGCTCCACCCCTCTCACAGCATCTGCGCGGCTACCGCATGCGACCAGAAGCGTCCAAGCAGCGTACGCGGCATGGAGTGTGAACCGGTAAGAGCGATAACACTCGCCTCCAAGCAGCTAGATATAAGATGCTGGTTATACTCCTGACTGCGGCAGCGGCAGGTTCAGCGGTGAGAGGGAGGGGGCGGGATTCAGCGTGTGTGAGCTGTGATTGACACTCCATCAGACGCTCCTCTGGCTGTGATTGGTTGTTTTGTCTCGTACCGAAATATTCTTTCCAGATTGCAATACAGGCAGTAGGGTTGTCACGATACTAAACTTTTCAACTCGATACCGATACTAAGGAAAATATTCGATACTCGATACCATTTTCGATACCACAAGGATAAAAACAAAGACTCCAAAATTCTACAGAAATATTTTCATTAATAAATAAAATACAATAAATAAATAGAATAAAGGTTGCATGCTGTGCACAATATTAAGCAAGCTTGATAAAAAACGTATAAAATTAAAATTACGTGGTCCTTCCTTGGCTATGCTTTGCACACATAACAATGACACTAGCCAAACCGGTTAAGAAACAAAAATCATTCTCAGCAGCTGCACCTGTTACGAAAAAAAAAGTCTGAAACTGAAAAGTGCACAGAATTATTCAATCACACAGTGTTCAGAAAGTGCATTGTCCTCTATTCTGCACTTTAGATGAATGACTGCTTAGGTGCCACTGGTGGTGGCACTGTATCGATACTTTTAAAAACGAGTATTGTATCCGGATACAACTTTTCAGTATCGATTCTTTTTTGACTATCGATACTTTTGACAACCCTAACAGGCAGTAGGCGGGACCAATTGAAGCAGTTTTTTTTCACAGGTTACATATCACATGTACTGCTGTCTAGGGCATAGGGACAGTTTTAGCCAATATGACAAAAAAGTGATTTTTAAAAACTTACAGACTTCAGCTTTAAAAAAAGAACTCACAGTTGGATTAAACTGCACCTACTTTCAGAAAAAAATTTCACAATATGATATTATAGTACTTATTTTGCTGAAAGGTATAAGCAGGAGTTTGGTCGTCAAAGGTACTCATAAATCAAATAGCTGCACACCTAATTCAGCCACACCAGTTTGAACAATGTTACCAATCCGTGTATCATTCGTTCTTTCTATTTTCAATTGCCAATCAAAAAACAAAAAATAAAAAATTGACTGGTTATTTTGTTTTTTGTTTTTTATCGTTAAACCAAAAACGAAAAAAGGATTGGTTTTTCATATTTCAATTCTAAGCTCAGATCAAGAATACGAAATGGAAAAACGGACAGCAACGCAGAATTTGATTTTAATATTTAATCGGTACAGTTTACATGACCCGGAAGTTTGGTGGAGCGTTAGCTAAAAAAACAATTGGCTTACTCCCACCACGTTCGATCAAACTGCACCAGATAAGGCAGTCGGACCTATCAGCCATGGACAGTTACGTTTTATTTCGAGGATCCAAGCGTGTGACTCTTGAGGAGGACATGACAACGGAGAAAATTTGCAGGATTTTCCAGGTATAACTTTTTTCTTGAAACTTTTCTGTGCACTGTACTTTTAACTAGCAACAACAAACAGCTTCTCGATCAACATAGTGTGTGGTTCTAGCGTCGCCATGGTAGCTACTTCATTACCCCAACTGCTGCGCAAAGAGCTATTTCCGGGTCACGTAAACTGTACTGATTAAATATTAAAAACAAATTCTGCGTTGCTGTCCGTTTTTCCATTTCGTATTCTTGATCTGAGCTTAGAGTTGATATATGAAAAACAAATCCTTTTTTCGTTTTTGGTTTAACCATAAAAAACAAATAACAAAATAACCAGTCAATTTTTTATTTTTTGTTTTTTGATTGGCAATTGAAAATAGAAAGAACGAATGATACACGGATTGTTACCATATGGCAAAATTACTTTATCTTCATTTTCAAAAATATTTTTTTTACAGTTTGTTGTAAAATGTAGGCTTTTACTTTGATTTAAATTTAATGTTGGGGGTCATATCATATACTTAGCATGCCCTGTTTGCCAGTCCTTTTTTCTTATTGAAATTGACATGGGAATATTATCAATCTGAGGACACAAAACATTGAATCTATTTTATATTTAGGAAAGTTTTAATACAAAAATCTAAGGTAAGTAGACTTTATTTTTATCATTAATTTAGTTTTGATATTATATTGAAATACACTATATTGCCAAAAGTATTTGCTCACCCATCCAAATTATTGGAATCAGGTGTTCCAATCACTTCCATGGCCACAGGTGTATAAATTCAAGCACCTAGGCATGCAGACTGTTTTTACAAACATTTGTGAAAGAATGGGTCGCTCTCAGGAGCTCAGTGAATTCCAGCGTGGAACTGTGATAGGATGCCACCTGTGCAACAAATCCAGTCGTGAAATTTCCTCGCTCCTAAATATTCCACAGTCAACTGTCAGCTGTATTATAAGAAAATGGAAGTGTTTGGGAACGACAGCAACTCAGCCACGAAGAGGTAGGCCACGTAAACTGACGGAGCGGGGTCAGCGGATGCTGACGCGCATAGTGCGAAGAGGTCGCCAACTTTCTGCAGAGTCAATCACTACAGACCTCCAAACTTCATGTGGCCTTCAGATTAGCTCAAGAACAGTGCGCAGAGAGCTTCATGGAATGGGTTTCCATGGTCGAGCAGCTGCATCCAAGCCATACATCACCAAGTGCAATGCAAAGCGTCGGATGCGGTGGTGTAAAGCACGCCGCCACTGGACTCTAGAGCAGTGGAGACGCGTTCTCTGGAGTGACGAATCGCGCTTCTCCATCTGGCAATCTGATGGACGGGTCTGGGTTTGGCGGTTGCCAGGAGAACGGTACTTGTCTGACTGCATTGTGCCAAGTGTAAAGTTTGGTGGAGGGGGGATTATGGTGTGAGGTTGTTTTTCAGGAGCTGGGCTTGGCCCCTTAGTTCCAGTGAAAGGAACTCTGAATGCTTCAGCATACCAAGACATTTTGGACAATTCCATGCTCCCAACTTTGTGGGAACAGTTTGGAGCTGGCCCCTTCCTCTTCCAACATGACTGTGCACCAGTGCACAAAGCAAGGTCCATAAAGACATGGATGACAGAGTCTGGTGTGGATGAACTTGACTGGCCTGCACAGAGTCCTGACCTCAACCCGATAGAACACCTTTGGGATGAATTAGAGCGGAGACTGAGAGCCAGGCCTTCTCGTCCAACATCAGTGTGCGACCTCACAAATGCGCTTCTGGAAGAATGGTCAGAAATTCCCATAAACACACTCCTAAACCTTGTGGACAGCCTTCCCAGAAGAGTTGAAGCTGTTCTAGCTGCAAAGGGTGGACCGACGTCATATTGAACCCTATGGATTAGGAACGGGATGTCACTTAAGCTCATATGTGAGTCAAGGCAGGTGAGCAAATACTTTTGGCAATATAGTGTATATTTGTTTCAATTCGACAAGTATGTTTGTCTGCATTTGGCAGTATACAAACATGGAAACGTTCTGGCGCATTCAATTCAGTTCAGTTTATTTATGTAGCGCCAATACACTACCCATGTCATCTCAAGGCAGTTTACAAAGACAATTCAATCGAATCACACAGTCAGATTAGTTAAAGTTTTCTATCTAAGGAAAACCATCTGATGCATTGACTCATTAATTAAACACATAAGTATAATAATTCACAGACCTCTACAGTGAAAAATATTTAATTCAACTTTTGAGTAGGAATAGAGATCAAGTAACTTCTAGAGAGAGCCAATTCCGGAATTGCTCAAAATCCATCAACAAGGCTCAAGCTTATTGATACTGCTGCCCTGACAAATGGGTCAGTAACAATGTCTTTGGTGTCAAACAGTTTGAACATAAAACTCAATGGAGAAGAACATACAGTTGGGGAAATAATAATGATGACCCTGATGCATATGTTGAAATAGGTCCCAAACTTTTTATCATTAAAGGAATAGTACACCCAAAACATGATTAGCCTTCATTTTCTACTCACCTCCATGCTGAACAACACTCTGGAGTACTTTTTTGATATCTCAAATGCATCTGGAGATCTGGGAGGCTTCTTGCTGTCTGCTGACATTCAAATAATGGAGGTCCATGGCGCCCGAGACAGAAAGGTCCATAAAAGTCCACAAAAACGTGTCAATATTCCTCCATACTGCTCGTCCAATGTAATCCAAGTGTCCTGAGTGGGTAGCATCCAGAATTTACTCGAAACGAAGTCATTTAGAATGTTTTTAGAGCATAAACAGTAGTGTATAGGATTTCCTAATAGCGCCCCCATGCGCGCTCACGATTCTACGGAAGCCGGCAGACCAAACCGGAAGGAAGTGCGCATTCAGCGTCTGGTCTGCCGATAATGCAAGCGTAGAAGAAGAAATGTGCTGTTTACCTGTGCAAAGAAAGAAACAACGAAATAAAAATGTCTGAGGACTTCAGTGTTGAGGAAGAGCATGAGTTCTTTGCCGAGCTGAATGCGCTGGTTTGGTCTGCCGGCTTCCGTAGAATCGTGAGCGCGCATGGGGGCGCTATTAGGAAATCCTATACACTACTGTTTAGGCTCTAAAACGTTCTAAATGACTTCGTTTCGAGTAAATTCTGGATGCTACCCACTCAGGACACTTGGATTACATTGGACGAGCAGTATGGAGGAATATTGACAAGTTTTTGTGGACTTTTGTGGACCTTTCTGTCTCGGGCGCCATAGACCTCCATTATTTGAATGTCAGCAGACAGCAAGAAGTCTCCCAGATCTCCAGATGCATTTGAGATATCAAAAAAGTACTCCAGAGTGTTGTTCAGCATGGAGGTGAGTAGAAAATGAAGGCTAATCATGTTTTGGGTGTACTATTCCTTTAAGGTGCACCCTTGAAAGCTGTCTTTTGACGCCTACATATTCAGTGGCAGCAGAAAGAGGGGATCTTTATCTGATATTTATCAGTGAAAGCTTTGCTTACAAATATGAATTTTGTTTTTGATGTATTCTTATGCAGGCCCAAATTACTAGCGCAAGGTCGCCTGGGCACAAAATGTCTGATCCTCCTCTTTTTAAATCCAGGAATATTTAGACCTTCATGCTTGAGTCCTGTTTCACAAAGCAGGTTTAACAAACTAAGACTCAAATCCTCAATTCTGAGGTTGGAAACACATCCATGGCAGAAGTCAAAGGCGTAGGTTTGGTTTCAACTTTGGTAGGGACACTATTGGTCTTCAGTTTCACCGGTCTGATGTCATTGGTCCTTTGCAAAAATATGCATGATCTTTTTTATGCTTAATGTGAGCATCAGGGCACATTTTGTTTAAAGAGAAAAGAAGAATTTATTGCTACATTAATACAATTTTTAAAGTATCACTGGCTCTGATGAATGTGGAATTAGGACTTTTTTCCAATCTGAAAATGTTTGCATTTAAACTTACCGCTGTCAAAAAATAGAAATATTGGTGAAAGGGAATCAGAAATGTTGACAGTTTAGTCTTTTTTAATTTTAACAGCAGTTTTCTGAACTCCTGTCTGACTGAATATTAAGTTTAATAAAGAAATCCTAATGTTGATTACTTACATTTCTCAAGTTCCACAAATCCAAACTCTCTCCTGCTTCTTTACAGAACTGCAATCAGAAGCTTTTGCCTGTATTAGCCTAGATAATATTTAGTTTTGGTAACCACTGTATTCTAGCATCATTTTTTACATTTTATTTCGCTCTTTAAGCACGCGCACACATACAGAGGAGCTGCAAGAGGAAAAGAAGCGACTGCTGCAACAACGCTGTATAGTAAATTATAAACATGTTGTTCACATCGAATTATTGGTAGGGACAAGTAGGTCAATCCAAGATTTTGGTAGGGACATGTCCCTATGATCCCTATGCAAACCTATGCCCATGGCAGAAGTTTTTGGATTCATCACTGCTCCCCAAGATGCCACTGCTGTTGTTCCCCCTCTAAATTGGCCAGAAAGAGTAATGATTCTTGATAAACAGTTTCATCCAAACCATGCACAGATGCAACAACTACAGGATGTGGACCCTCTGGAAGAACCGATGGGAAGTTTAGCAATAGATATACTGCAAACTGTGATTGACATTTTGGAGCAGTAATGTCTCATCCACAATGAACTGCTTAATGGTAAAACCACTTAACTGTGCATTTCACCACAGGATGTTTGGTTGTTGTTTTTAGAAGGTTAGGCATGGAGACTGCATTTCACTCCCTTGTGATCTGCTAAACCGTTGATTTCTTCACATGGAAGTGTTGGTTTTGTATTTAAAGAAATAATAGTGCATCTCTTTCTGTTTATTGACTACCTTTGTTCATCGAAACCCTGGGTTTAAACATTATACTGTAACATTTTTTTCTGAAAGTACATGTGGTTTTGTTTGATGTTCATAAATTGACAAAATTACTTTTGATTATTTGTAATAACAAAAAAAAAGACACAGGATGATGTCATCATTGTGGAGAAATGGAAACAATAGAACATGTATTAGAATGTGGGGCATGTGAAATAGAAAAAAAACTGATTTAGAACATGAAAGAAAAATTAAATCTCCCAAATATTTTGCTGAAAGATTCTAAAGTAAAAGTATAAACATTTTTATATATGTATATATTTTTGTATTAACACAAGTGACAAAATTTAAGGCTGAAATAAATGAAAAGATAAATACGTTTTTCTGTATCAATTTCCATACCGGTAGGTGGCGGTAATGCGCACCTACAGTTTATCCCCAACTGAAAAATACACTTTAAGAAGCAGAAAAAGTTAAGAGAAGAAAGTGGTATGCCCTGCAGGCAAACCACCCCCGGATTTCAAGAAGTGGTTTAACCCTACTACTCAGCAGCCAATGGGGGAAAAAGCACACTCACCAGCTGAAAATGGGAGAGTGGCCAAATGGCTTAAAATCACATGAAATCAACGCGCAGTTGACTCGTTCTTTACGCGCTCTCAACGTGTTAACTACGTTTGGCCGATTAAAAGGCAAAGACAACGCGCAAACATCGCGTTAATCACGTGTTGTTTGCGCGTGAAAATTCGCGCGTTTTTAAACCGGTCGGCCTTCCATATCTCTCCATACACAAGCTGTCATTTTGTGAATTTTCTCGTCCAAAATCTCTTCAGATTCATATGTCTCTTTGAGTTTTTCAAACAATCTGTCCAGTTCTGTTTTGATGGTTTCCAAATTTAAAGTTAAACCAGACTGGTTTTCTTACTTGTTCCTCCTTTTGATGATTCGGGCTCCATGTCAGGTTTCTTTTGCTCCTTTTGTTTCTGGTTTTAATCCTGAAAACATTGAAGACATTTATTCCTGTGTGTAAAAATTTTAGCAGTTGTGCTCTCACTGAAGTGCTGAGAACGAGTGAGGCGTCTTCTTCTTCTTCTTGTCGAGTTTTATGGCGGTTGGCAACAAACTGTTAGTAGCATTACCGCCACTTACTGGTATGGAGTGTGCTTCGTGATGGTTTAAATATTTATCCTGATACACTCTACCCTAACTTCTTCTAAACATACATTCACTCATTCACACTTAAAAATATAAACATATTTGTGCACAGCTTTGTACATCATTCCTTCACTCACAAACACACTTACTATAATTAAATTCTATGAAATTATTTCGTTTTCTTTAGAAATCGAATAATTATTTGTATGTGTTTACTCCCTAAATTTTTCCTCAGTATATCTAATAAATTAACCTTCTCCTTAATGTCTTCAAACTCTCTTCTCATATATCTTCTCTCTTTTTCATATTTATGACATTCTAATATAACATGTTCTATGGTTTCATATTTATCACAGAAATCACATTTGCCTGTTTTATGTTTTTGTATTTTAAAAAGTGTATGATTAAGTCCTGTATGACCAAATCTTAACCTTGTTATCACTCTTTCCTCCTTTCTATTTCTTCTTCCATTTCTTCTTTCTCCTACCATCTTCTGAATTTTATAAAACCATCTTCCTGTTTTATCTTAATCCCACCTTTTTTGTAAAGTTTCTCTTTAATAATACTCTTTCCTTCTGATTTACTTATTTTAACTATAAAACTAATAGAATGTTTAATTGCCCTTTTTGCCATTTTATCTGCCCACTCGTTTCCTTCTACCCCAATATGTGCTGGAACCCACACAAATGTAACTATCAGCCCCATGTTTCGTATTCTGAACAGTGTATGATTTATTTCTAATAAAATGTCCATCCTATCTGTTTGGTTATTTTTTAAACTTAACAACGCAGAGCTTGAATCTGAACAGATGACTGATTTTAACGGTTTTATGTCTTCTACCCATTGTAACGCTAATAATATTGCCAACATTTCTCCTGTGTATACTGATAATCCATCTGTAATCCGTTTTCCTATTTTTATATTGAATTCTGGTACTACAAATGCTATTCCTAGTTTCTCAGTTATTTTTGATGCATCAGTATAAATTTGAATATATTGATAATAACTGTCTAAATGTAACTGTACTAAATTAATATCTACCGTGTACGATTTATCTTGTTTCTTTTCCATTAGTGACATATCTACTGTTGCTTCTGGTAGAATCCAGGGAGGTATGATTGATATTGGTGTTGTTTGACTCATTTCTAAACTATTCATTTTAAATTTTTTTATTTTATTTTCAATTGTCCATCCAAAACTCCTCATTTCTTTCTTTTCTTTTTCCCAGCATGGATTTAAAATGTCCAAAGTTGGGTGATCCCCATTATTTCCTTGTAAATTTAACCAGTAATTGATTTCTAATTTTGTTCTTCTTAAATCTAATGGCATTTCTCCCATTTCTATTTCTAATGCTGCTGTTGGTGTGGTTTTAAATGCTCCAGTACATAATCTTAGTGCCTGATGTTGGATAATGTCTAATTTGGTTAGATGTGTTTTAGCTGCTGAACCGTAAACTAAACAACCAAAGTCTATGTTGGATCTAATCATACTTGTGTAAATCTGTTTTAGTGATTTCCTATCTGCTCCCCAGTCACTGCCAGCCAAACATCTCAAAATATTCAAGATTTTCTTACATTTATCAACAACTTTTTGTATATGTATATGCCATTTTAATTTTTCATCAAACCATAATCCTAAAAATTTTATACACTTTACCTGCTCTAACTCTTGTTTATATAATTTAAATTTTATTTCCTTGTTTATTTTTTTCTGAGTAAATAACATTACTTTTGTTTTATCAACTGAGAACTTAAATCCCCATTGCAACGCCCATTTCTCTATTTCAATAATAACCTTTTGTAATTTTTTAACAATAAAATCAATATTTTTCCCTCGTTTCCAAACAGCTCCATCATCTGCAAATAGTGAAAACCCCATGTCTTTTTCAATATCTTTAAATACATCATTTATCATAATTGAGAATAATAGTGGACTTATAATACTCCCCTGTGGAGTTCCATTTTCTACTTTATATTTTCCTGAGGTAGTTTCTCCTATTCTAACTTGTATTTTCCTATCTGTTAAAAAGTCTTTAATCCATTTAAATATTCTCCCTTTAATACCAAACTTGTATAATTGAATTAATAATCCATCCACCCACATCATGTCATATGCCTTTTCTATATCAAAGAATATAGCCACTACACTTTCTTTATTTACTTGTGCTCTTCTAATTTCGTGCTCTAGACAGAGCGTTGGATCGTTAGTGCTCCTCCCTTTTCGAAAACCACTTTGATATTTTGATATATATCCTTTACTATTTAGATAATATACTAGTCTATTATTAATCATTTTTTCCATTATTTTACATAAATTAGATGTTAAGGCTATTGGTCTGTAGTTTCCTGGGTTTGAATGATCTTCTCCTGGTTTGGCTATTGGTATTATAATTGATTCCTTCCAGTTCAACGGTAATTTTCCCTCCTCCCAAATTTTATTATATAGTTGTAATATTATATCTTTAGATTTTTCACTAAGTTGCCCTATTATTCTATACCAGATTTGGTCTTTACCTGGTGCTGTGTTTTTTGTCTTTTTAAGTGCATTGTTCAATTCCGTTTTTGTAAACTCAACATTTAACAAATTATTTGTTTCTTCAACGCTCTGTATAAAATCTTTATATTTAATTTTTGTATTTTCTCTACCTTTTCTTCCATTTTCACTAATATTATTTGAATTTTACTAAACGTTCTTGCCAATATTTCAACTTTTATCTTCATCTCTTATTATATTTGTATCATCTATTTTTAGTACAGGATAGTCAAACTCTCTTTTTATACCATTCATTATTTTGATTACCTTACAAATTTTTTCTTTTTTTGTTTCTTTCCCTATCGTATTACAAATTTTTTTCCAATATTCTCTTTTTGCATTCTTTATAGTTCTCCTTACTATTGCTAGTTTTCTTTTATAATCAATTAAATTTTTATATATTGGATCATGTTTGAGTGTCTTAAATGCTTTATTTCTTAACTTTATTGCTTCTTTACACTCATTTGTCCACCATGGAACCATTTTCTTATCATTCTTACTCCCTAATTTCTTTATAGAATTATCTGCTGCTTCCATTATTATTTTACCAATTATTAAATTTAAATCATTTATATCCATACTCATGTCTACTTTTTCTAAGTTTATTTGACTCAAATATCTAAATTTAGTCCAGTCAGCCTTATTAAAATTATACTTTTTCCCAATTTTAATATTCCTATTATTTAAATTTAGCCCTACTTTTACTATTATGGGGTAATGATCGCTACCTATTGTAGATTTTTTTATCAATGAACCAATCACAAATACCAGCTAAAACATTTGAGACAATTGTTAAATCAATAACTGATTCCATCCCCGTTCTTATATTGATTCTTGTTCCCTTTCCATCATTAATACATACTAGATTTTTCATTTCCATTATTTCTTCTATAACTTGTCCGTTTTTATCATTACATTTACCCCACACTGTACTATTTGCATTAAAATCTCCACACCAAATTATCTTCCCTTCCAAATATTCAGTTAACTCCTCCATTATTTCAATCGATAATGTTTTACATGGATTATAAAAATTTATTATTTTTAATTTACCTTCTTTTCCCCATATCTCAATTACTACATATTCTAGTTCTTTCCCTTTCCCCAATATCTGATATTGTATTCCTTTTTTGATAAATATTGCACATCCTCCTCCACTTCCCTCTGGTCGATCTCTTCTTACACTATCATATCCTTTGATCACAAAATCTAATGTTGTTTTTAACCATGTTTCCTGAACACAAACAATTTCCGGTTGTTCTTTCAGCTCATTAATATAACCTTTAAGTTCCTGTCCATTAGCGATTAAACTTCTAGCGTTCCATTGTAGTATTAACATGAACCATTTTCACCCGAAGGTCCTGCTCTCCCATCTTCCTCCAGCTTTTTATTTATGTTCTCCCATGATCCCTCTTTAAATCCCAAAAACTTTTCAGCTGCTCTCACTATTATTTTAATCTTCTCAGTTTTGTGTTTGGCTTGGTCAGTGCAGTTGATAACATAAGCTATGAATAATATTAGTTTTTCCACTGGAATTGTGGCTTTTTCTTCTGTCTGTACTTTGCTTTGTTGTGTAGTCTGTCTCACTGTTTGTTTAATCTCTCTTGTTTCCTGTTCCTTCACATTCTTAACTGCTTCTGCATAGCTTATGTTTTTAGTTGTTTTAATCTGTACGATTTCTTTTGCCCTTTTCCTTACTTCACATCCTCCAAACGTGACTCTATGGCTCCCTCCACAGTTACAACATTTTTCTTGTTCTTCTTTACACTCTTCTAATTTGTGATCTTCTCCACATTTTGGGCATCTTTGCCTGCCTTCGCAGACTGCTGCTATGTGTCCATATCTTTGGCATTTGAAACACCGAAGTGGTGGAGGTACATATGGTCTGACCTGAAAATTGAGGTATCCTATTTTGATGTTTTTTGGCAGCTCTTCATCTTCAAATTCAATAAGGATTGACAAGCTTCCTACTCTTTCTCCATTCACTGTTTTTGACAATCTTTTCAAGTTGTTCACATTTGCACCCACAACACTTCTCTTGATTTTATCAAGATCTTCATCAAGAGGGATCCCATAAATCACTCCTCTAATTTTTTTATTTTCTCCCATGATTTTTTTCTCCAGAACAGTTCTTTTGCAGATACTCTCCACATTTAAAGCCTTATTCTTTTGTTCTATATCTTTACATATTACCAATAGGTTTCCGTCTCTTAAAATCTTTACCATTTCAACATCTCCGATTTTCTTTTTTATTTATCTAACGAGTGAGGCTTCTTCTTCTTGTTCTTAATGGCGGTTGGCAAACAACTAAGTGGTGCATTACCGCCACCAACCAGTAAGGAGTGTGGATCAAGACAGACATGCTAAAAAAACAAAAAAACAAAAACAAAAAAAACCTAAATTCTTTTCGCTAAACCTGTAGCCAATAAATAACGAAACATAATTCTATAACTTGAATCATAAATA